CAACTTACAATTATTGTATGTGACTGTAGTAAATACCTCTGTTATTCCTTTTTGGCAATTAAGCTAATAAATTGTAAATTAGTGACATGATGAAAAGCACACCTGTCGCCAGCCATGATTAATTATTTACACGGGGAAGGTAAAATACCTTTTTGCAAAAATATTTTTTTATCAAAAGTTGACTTATCACAATTTTCAAAGTAAATCAAATCCCGCTCCATTCATATCGATTGAATTTCAAAACATTTCTTGTAGTATCTGCCTATTCTCCTTTCCATTTCAGATATAAAACCTATCGTGTACCACGTATTAGAGACCCTGTTTTAAAAATGAGGAAACAATGAAAACCATTCATGTAAATTCAGACGGGAAAATCAATCACAAAAATAGTTGTTATGTTTGAGAGGGTAAGAAGGACTTTAAACAGAGGTTTCCACGATCTCGGTTATATGTCATTTGCATATCAACAAGATAGCGCGTTTATAAAATAATGAATATCTGTCATGCAAAGCCGATGCAATTATAAAACTCTAGATGATTGAAATTGGCCATACAATATAAATTATTAAGGGTTTGCTTGATAAATTACATCTGTCAAAATGAGGATCCTGTCATTTCATGTCAATTAATAACATAAGGCACGCCATAAACGACTCAATATTACATTTTTAAAACAATTGTTTGTGCAAATCGATTTCAATGAATCTCAACAATCTGACTTCATATTCATTAATTACTAAATAAATTAACATCCTTACTCTGCGTGATTGCATTTAAAAGTTCATTAACGAATTTTAGAGCTGCTACAAATTGGAAGACCAATAAATCTACAATAGACCAGATGTGACTTTACTATATCGACTTTACTACCCTGGCAACTAACCCGAATGTTTGAAATCAATTGGTCGTATGTTTAAAACTGCTGGTCGGATTTTAATACAATATTGATATTTATTTCCATTCAGTAAGTATATTTTCATTCAAGGCACATTATAAAACTGAGTTTATTTCGCTTTAATCAGAGCCCACTTAGTTTAGATATCAGTACTGTAGCCGTTTAAAACTTAGTTTACTGTCATATTGATTCATCCTAGAGGCGGTGTATATCTTTGATATAGAATACAGGTTACTGAGTGAGACTCTCAAAACCATGCTACAGTTGCGAAACCAGGTAGACTGTTTGCTAAGTACATTCGTTTTCCCGAATAATCAAAGTTAACGTGTGGATTTTGATCTCTAATAATTGTACATGCAATGCAGGTAAGCACTCTAGGACAAAATGTAAATGACGGAAATTAGCAAGTATTTGAGAAGGGAGAAGTTTTGGAAATGAGCCCAGTCATTCACATAAATTAAACACCAAAATTTGCGTCAATAGCATCGAGTTGACGACATCATGGTTAGGTCCACTGCCTTCGGTGAAAGATACATTACGCACTGCATCAGACACATTACTCTACGGCCTTTATTCTGGCACGCAGCTGACAGCCTGAATTTTTCATTATATGGTAAATTGGGTTGTAAACACAGCTCTTTTTCCCTGTGACAATTGAAAATGCAGCCCGAAATACGTTTTTGTTTAGTGATAACATATTCTCTTTCAGCCGGGTGATATTCATTAACATGTCTTCAGCAAATACAACTAAGAATTCTATATTTCATGTTTTTCTCTGACCTTTGGTAGAAAAAAACTGGGCCTTCAGTATTTTATGTAAATTTGAATTTGCAGCTTTTTCAAACCTTTATGAGAGTTTTTGTTGTTTAACGTAAGCATGTGTGCCGGGTTACTCTCACCTGCATACATTGATTTTAATAGAGACCACATTATTAGGCAGATTTCTAAAGTGTTCTAAGGAAAAGATATGCAATTTATCTACCAAGCTTTAAATTATTGTATATTGTGGGATGTTACATGTTTTGTCACGTCCTGATAACAGTTGTTCCAGAAGATAAGGGTATAGAATGAACGGTCTCTAATTCATGATTGAAGTCATCCAGGATTATTGATGATATCAACCCATACACCAAGTGTTATAGAAATTCAAATATAAATTTAGTGTATAGATGTAGTAAGGCAACAAACTCAGCCAGCCTTGCCGAAGCATATCACGTTGATATATCAATGTAAATCCTGTCTACGACAATTATAATAATAGCTTATTTACCAAAATGAAGAATAATCCGATTAGAATTGAGTCTCTAGAATCAGTGTAGACAATCAGCTAAAGGATTAATTAATTAATCATCTGGTTAATATGCGTACCTCTTGCTTATAATCATCGTCTTGATTATATAAGACTTTTTAGTTTGATCAAAGTCTGATTAGAATATTGTTGCTAGTGTTGTCAAAATCAATCAGCCAGATCTTCACCACAAGTAGGGGTGAAGTTTCATTCACAATCATATCCATTCAAAATCTTGATTATTTACCAAGTTTGCTTAACAATTCTCTAAAAATACATCTTTAGAGTTGTGACAAAACTCAATCAATTCAGATGAAAGCTCACCTCGAAAATAACCAATGATCTCACTCAAAATGAAAACCATCAAACATCTTGAATAAAATCGTTTCAGAAATATAATCTTTCAAGTGGTAAGAAGTTTATCCATACATGTGAAAGATCACGTCGTTAGTATGCGTATATCTTGCTCAAAAAAAAAAATACGTTTTATAAGTTGCTGATAAAAGCGTATATTCCAGTCTTTACAAACAAATTACTAAATCTTGATAACCGCAGCGAAAAACATGCAAATTCACCTCAATAATGTGCATGGTTCCGCTCATGATTGTATTCCTTCACAATCTTGACAGTTTAAGCCTATTAACCAATTTTGATCATAATTAGAACCCAAATTCTAGAGTGGACACAAGTACAGCTAATCACATTCAAGATAACCTCATTAATAAGCGTGGATTCCGTGCATTATCGAATGTATATGGATAATCTTTATCACGTGACACTGTGCTAAAAGCTTCATTAAAAAAAGATAAAATAAAACTTCCAAGATTGTAATTACTCAACACATCAGATACATGATTACTTGATTGGTGCTTGTGGATCTTGCTCATTGTGGATCTTCCTCATTGTGGATCAGGCTCGTTGTGGATCTTGCTCATTATCAAATCCAATCATGATTCTGAAAATATAACTTTGAACAAACTCTTTTCAGAAATATGACTTGCAGATATATAAAAATCTCAGCTAATTAGATGCAAGATAAGCTAATTAAAAATTTTGCTAATTATCGAACCCATAAAATATTTAGATCATAGAAATAAATATTCCAGTTTAATCCAAATCAAAACTGGGGTCTGGTTACGAGATTGGTGAAAAGCTCTGTCCTTCAGATCACCACATTAATAGATATAGATCTGCTTTATTATGAACTCTCGTGAGATTTTGAATATAAAATCCATTATTCAAAGTCTGATTCAGTGGGATCAGACACATGGAAACCAAAGTGATAACAAGCCATTGTGGAAAGACAAACGACGTACTGTACAATGATAAAGTCATGCAGTAAGTTCAATTGGCTTTACGGCCAAGTAATCCAAATTTTATCTTTCTTGCCACGCAAAAGCAATGCTTCCAGTACCTGTTTTAATCAACCAAGGAAAACAGTCTAAGTCAATGATAAATTATAAACACTTATAATTTATAATGAAACAAGATATCAACAGGATAAATGCGGTAATAGATGCACTGTCCCATTTTGTAATCACTAAATGTTGTAAGAAACATAACTTTTACAAATTTGAATTTAAATTGATATCTGAAAAGAAGAAAAAAGAAACTACATTTGAATGGAAGGTGACACTTGTGAAGACGCAATTCTTTAAATGAACATGCCCCGGTGCACCTGATGAATGTATCATTTGGAATGCATCGGGACAGTTTATCATTTGGAATGCATCGGGACAGTTTAGATTTTATAACGGTAATCATCTGCCTGCATTATGTTGAAAACAGGCGTGTACTACACGACCCTTTTTGCCCATTTGTTCGTTTAATATTTTGGAGATGTTCCCATGAATGCACCTATGTAATTCCGTACATGTCATTAGAAAAGAGACTTTGTGCAATATAATCTTTATGAAACGTTTTTCAGAACAGCAATTCATCCCCACATAATAGGGTTTTGGAGATTGGCTAACTGGAGGCTAATAGTAGGGGCAACACTGTGAGCGACTGAAGACAAATACGAACATACGCTCATTTCAAAAAGTTTAAAGCATTGTTATATTCATTATCTATTAAACGGCTTAGTAAATGCTGCATCATTTTTGAAGCACTGAGCAGCAACCAGTTTGAAAGTTAAGGCTGGATATTCTGAAGGCATCATTAAATCGATGATAAGTTAAAGACCTAAAAGTCATGCTAATGCAAGACAGACACGTTCAAATAATGCCTGACACGAAAGCTTTGTACGATAATGCCTCATTTCCTAAAAGCGTGAAAGCATCGATTGGTTTTGGCAACAAAGTTCACACAATAATTGATAAAAAAAATCAGTTTGGAAAATATTACGTCAAAAGCAAATTGAACAAAAGAAATTTAATATTTATTTTCTACTCTGCCATCACTGCAATTTTTTTTACCAGAAAGGACACTCCTGAATGAACACATATATAATCACAATTAGATGAAAGATATTTAAGTATTGTTACGAGTCTATGATCTTATAATAAGTAACAGAAAAGAGCTAAGACAGAGCGAATTGTAAAATTTAAAAAAAAAATATTTTCCTATACTACAAAGTGAAACATAAGAAAAAAGAACTTACAATATTGCTTAATAAATCGAAAAATCCAAGAAATAAGGACACAAGACCTATCAATAAAAAGTTCTGAATAAAACTCAGTTCAAGTCTCAAATAGATTTAAAATTGTAGGCGATGACGAGTCTGTTACAATCTGTGTCGCACTGCTGTTTCAACTATCTCTTGTTGAATCACATACATATTATTCCAGGTTTGAATAGTATAAACATAAATTCCAGGACCGCTCCGTTGGCCTAGTGGTTAGAACGTCCGCCTCATATGCGTGAGGTCATATGTTCGATCCCCGTTCGAGTCATACAAAAGACTTACATAAATGGTACTTACAACTGTCTCGCTTGACAATCAGCATTAAGAGGTTAGTGTTAGGACAGGTCGGCCTGGTGTCAGGAAAATGTGACTGGGTGGGACATCATGCTACATGTCTGCGGCATGATGCTCCAGTGCTAGACATCACTATAAACTGCCACACTGCAGATATCGTAGCGATATGACTGAAAAATTGCTAAAGCTACATTAAAAATCATAATTACATCACATCAACGTATAACTTCCAATGAATGTCTTTATCCAAGAATTCTCACTTTTGTATTTCAAGAGAAGATAATCACTTGAATTCAATAACTTGAAGATAATAAAATTCAACCCAAGCTGGAAATAACATAACAGAATTTAAAGAGCCAGATGTTAAAGCACAAATGATAAAATTCTGACAGTCTGATAGTTATCTGTTTGGCCTCAATTCACAAATTGACATTTTGTAAAAACAACCATTACCTAATGGAAAATAACTTTCTAGCATGATTTAATGGGCCTCGTTTATTTAAAACTTAATACCCTATAAAATTCACTTTTGAATCCAAAAACTCTGACCCAAATCAACATGTTTACCTGCATAATAATTTGCTCAATAAACTGATACCCTCAGAGGATACTGAAGCTATTATTAGTTGTTTACATCAATGAAATTTTAAAATGTTTAAACAAATCAATCATGTCAAACAGAAATGAACTCAATTCTGGTCAAGGTGAAGTCCATTAAACAATGTTACATTACAATAGCATGTAATGGAGTCAAAAAATATTTTTTCAAACTAACAAACAATTAAATTAATAAACAAAAACAGAATAACTTTCGACAGCACGACGAACACTTCGTAACACGATTAGAAAAGTTAGATAATAAGAAGTATGTGTAAATACTTGTTGCAATAATAAACCTTCAGATTTAAGAAATTAATAAACTGTCACTTTTCATTGTCTTGTAATTCAGTTTAGCGCTCTTTTTTACCAGGATATCGTACAAATGTTCAAAACGATTAAATTCTAATATGCTAATAAAGGTTATTTCACATGCAAACCGTGAAACATATCTCACAAGCTGCATTTTAAGATTCAACAGTCATTACCTGGTTAAGTTAACAGATATGGAGTACCGTGCGACGTGAGAATTTGACGGCATCAGCTTACCTGGGCGATGTGTGTGGAAACACCTGTATGATCAATCTGTTATCTGCATTTTGCATATCAAGATGTATCAAAATTTGGGAAATATATTGATAAGTTTCACGTTTGCTTTCATTGAGAAAACTGTTAACTGAACGCTCTAAACATTTTCCTGAAGAACACAATTTTATTTCAATTAATAAACATTAAATTGATCTAAAACAATTAAAAATGGCTTGTACTAAATATAGCGTACCTCCTCATTTTGGAGAGGGAAACCTGAAAGAAAAATTGTAGCTTTGAATAAAATTATTTACTAGATATGCAGTATGGAATAAAAAAGAACCAAAGCAATTCGTCATTGGGGATTTTAATCTAGTGCACTGAAAGTATACCGTAACTTTGAACTTGGGCTGAACCAATCGTAAATGCAAAAACTAAAGCAAAGATGATTTTTGCGCTGACGAGCAACCAGTAACAATTCATAAAAAAAAAACAAGTAATGAAAAAGAAACAAGGAAGCGTTAATAATGACTATGTAGATACGAAGGATGAAAATTTCCATACGATTGTAATTGCAACTGCAAATGACGTAAAAGATAATGGAAACAAACAAAATCAACAGTTTATATTGATAGCAATGATTGCAGGAGCTGGCTTAATTTTCTATGGCAAATAAATTGTGAATTACAGCCATCATTTTTGTCTGCTCCTGTGATCGAAACTGCATACAAGCCAACCAATGGCACACAATGTAAAACAAATGATTAGCTAATAAAGCAACAAAATATCAAGGTACTTTCGAAAACAAGATTATTAGCTTGCCAATAATATTAGGCAATACCTTTACCATCCCTCATCGAACAAATAACAATTCTTTAATTCCTAACTCATCAACGAATCATTATAAGTTATATTTTCCACTAGCGCTTGTTTTTGTACTAGCACTTGTTTCTGAACCAGCACTTGTTTCCTCATAAGCACTTGTTCCTATGCATGACTTTTTGTTCCCCCACTAGCATTTGTTCCTGTACGAACACTTGATCCTGTAATACCATATAATAAGCCTTTAGCCAGATTTAATATTGAACAGCAAACAAGTTATTACAATTATATCTGCAATAATGACTGCACTCTTTAAATCTTTTACTTTAAATACTAGCTTAAATTTTCTGATGTAGTAGTAGTAGTTGTTGTTGTTGTTGTTGTTGTTGTTGTTGTGGGGCTTAACGTCATTTTTCAGCACATGATAGGCTATACATGGCGGCCAGTGTTAATGGTGGAGGAAGAACTCAGGAAAGAGCCACCGACCCACAAGAAGCTACTGGCAAGCTTTCTCACATACCCGCATTCACTGAATCTTAGACTCAAACCCACGCAGACAGAGGTGAGATGGCAGTGATCCGTAACGGAGAACGCTTTAGACCACTTGGCCACTCAGGGTTCCATTCTGAAAGAGTAAGTTTGCTAACTAATCTTTCTTGTTTTCTTTGTACCTTATAAATATTTGAAGTATTTGTCAGCATTGTCAATAGCCCGAACTAGTCCTGACCTTGACATTGTCCTGACTATTGTTTCTTAGATATATCTCTGAGTATAGTTAATCTATTTAAAAAGTTCAACTTTTATTTTTTTATTTTATTTTTTTTTTGTTGTTGTTCGTGGATGGAGCTTTAGCTTTTGCCAATTGATTACGGATTGTTAGTTTATCTGCACATCCACTCTAATTCTTGTTTTAGCAAAATCAATGGACCATTTCTACCTAATATACGTACTTTTGTTTTTCATCGGTGTCATAACAATGAATTATGTTATCTTTAAATTTTGAACAAATTCTCATTAAATAATATTGTTGTTTATCAGATCTAAAACATTCATGAGTTTTGTTCATTATTAAGTAAGCTTAATGTTTTTTGGTCGAGGTGTTTCAGATCTTCATTTGATAAGTTCATCAAATCTAAAACATTCATGAATTTTGTTCATTATTAAGTTAGCTTAATGTTTTTGTCGAGGTGTTTCAGATCTTCATTAGATAAGTTATGTGGATAAATTGCACAAGAAAATCACAGAGTAAAATAAAAACTGAACAACGACAATGAAACTCACATTGGCATTCCAAAATGAAGGAAGAATGGAGCCTAATTCACACTGGCATTCTTAAATGAAAAAAGAATGGAACAAAATTCATTGAAATTTACACTGGCATTCCTAAATTAAAGACTTACATAATCATACAGTCGTTCGTACTGGTGATCTTTTAGAAAATTATAGCAAGCCAAAACTATAATGACTTTTATCAGTCTTCTAATTAAGAAATAATTTTATAAGTACGTATTTATTACCGTTTTGATGTGTATTATTGTTGCTGTTACTTACAATGTTTTGAAAGCGTTCCTAGCCTTTGTAGCTATTACATAGAGCTGGTACATGGCACGAAGAATGATATTTTATGGTAAATACACAAGTATACAAAAAAGAGGAAACTCTGCAAGTGCAAGTGGTAATAATTTGGTTAGAACCTAATGTCGTGAATATGCCTTATAGCTATGATTTGCTTAGTTATTTTGCTTTGCTTTGTGTTTGTTATTACTATCTTTAAAAGTAAAGGTGAAAGGAGATACCAACAACGTATTGGTTAACAATGCTGTTAGTGGCTTCACATCAATGTGCTCATGACTTATAACTGTATGGCTGCTAATGCATGCAATAAAACAAACAGTGGTGACCAAGATATCATTCACGAATACAGAGAAAGGAGCTGGTAATGTAAAACAAAAACTGTCATTGAAACTATAGAGTTTACTGTATGTGGGAAGATATTTACAACACCACTTCCTTATACTGACAGATTATTGTCCACTATATAATTTTGTTCTTCTTCATTATCTGAGATGAGATTTGTCATTATATTAGCAAGTTGAAAAATGTGGTTGGTTGGTTGGTTGAATTTTTACGGCGCACCAGCAGAATGAGGCTATTTAGAGCCATACAAAAAGTTATGTCTTTATTATTTAAAAGTGGTAAAAGGTTTCGTACCGACCTGCGATACAAAACCAAATAGTTAAAGGTAAAACGACATAGATGGTAACGGTGATAAATATATAAAGTTTCCCGATCAACGGGGAGTGCAAATAATATATGACAACGAAAACAGATGAATGGTAATTAAAATCTAGTGAACGTGCATATATAGCACATACAAATGTTCATGCTGATAACATAAAAACAATAACTTATGATACATGTTTACTTCCTTAAGGAAGTCTATAATATAAGAAATGCTAACTGCACCAAAGAGCTCTCGCATGTCTTGCACATTGTAATAATGATTACGCTTAGGTTACAGGTCGAAACACTCCAACATAAAGTGCTTAACAGTGAATGGCTCATCGCAAGATATGCACTCTGGTAGGTCTTCTCCTTTTAGAATGTAGGAGTGGATTAAATAAGTATAGCCGATACAAATTCCTGCAATGACTACCTTCTCCCTACGGACAGCTCTGTAGGAAGGAGTCCGTTTTCCTAGGGTTGTCCTGATGGCATGAAGTTTGTTATTCACGACATCATTCCATGATGCCTGCCATTTCTGACGTAAATAGTCATTGATACTTCGTTTAAAATCAGTATATGGTGTTTTAAAATCATATGGTTCTAGAAATAGGTCCATTTTAGCAGCGCGGTCTGCTTTATCATTACCTTTGATTCAAACAATGGTTGGGTAACCAACAGTATACAATATTGTGTGGGGTATTCAGCTCAGTATGTTTAAGGAGAATATTAGCTAATAATGGATTCTCCAGTTTTACTATAGTTTTATAGTATGTAGTGACTGAGGTACTGATAGTGAATCGG